GATTTCGTACTCCTAGGGATTCCTCGAAACTCTCAGGGACCTCTGGGGACTTTCGCGGACTCCTGAGCTTCCCAGGATTTCATGAGATTTCTTCGAATTTCGAGGGACTTTATGGGACTGCCTGGGACTTCCCGGGATTTCCTTGGAACTCCTTTGGATCTTCTCGCTACTTTGACATATTCCGAAGTAGTAGCACCTACATGCATCATACTGGTCTGACTGTTCAGATCAAAGGTTAAAGGTCAAAGGTTAAACACTAATGAAAAGAAACTAATGTGTAAAGAGCTGCGCTCCTGTATTTTATGGAACTCCTTGGAACTCTTTGAGATTTCTTGAGAGTCCTTGGAACTCCTAGGGACTTCCAGGGACTCGTGGAGTACGGAAGTCTGCTGTTTCCCCTTGCTTATAGTACCCCCATAGGATAGCTCATGAGGACTTATGGGTACCTCCATAAGAGAGCCCATGTGGACTTATGAATACCCCTATAAGATACATCGTACTTCCGGGATTTCAAGGATTCCCATTGTGCTCTCAGGGATCCGGAATCTTGGAAATCCCCTTTTTCCCCTTGCGTTCAACTATAAGAAAGACGAAAAAGAGGAATGCGACGTCTCGTCCACTAGATACCACCCTAGTTGCTTTGTCTACTAAACAACCTATTATTCAAGGAGAAAACGGCTGACTTCGGATCCATCAAAAGTGCCAAACACGTATTAAAAGCATCGGAGTTGGCTCACGAGAATCGCAACAAGACTCAGAATAACAAAGTTAGATATGGAGTATGACTTGAAGTATCGGAGTATTTGTCAGAGTATTGGAGTACGCCCGAAGTATCTGAGTTTGGCGAAAATACCAAATGGTGAACCCATTTTGAGGTGTTTACAGTTAATTACTTCGTTGCTTCTTTTCGATCATTATGATTCTCAAACGTGAAATGAAGTGTGGTGGGAATTACAGCTATTGACTACTCTCTTGAGACTCCCATACTGCGATACTTCAATAATACTTCGATACTCCGGCTCGTATTCCAGTACTCCGATGATACTCCGACGACACTCCAGTACTCCAAGCTGAAATCCAACTCAAAGAGTAAAGTTGATAATTTGAATTATACTGCTGAGACACATGATGGAAGATGGTAGATTCTCACTGAAATGTCCATTGCGAACAACACAAAGCATGTCTTAGCTGCTGGAGTACGATGCGAAGTACGATCCGAAGTACCGGAGTACCAGCTAAAGTATCGGAGTATCTGAGATCCTGGAGTGCCGTTTCCCCCTTGCTATTATGCGAAGTCGTTTAAAAATTAAAACAAGGAAAAAACAGTCTTGCAATACTTTCTCAAAAAATATTCGGAATAAACTATTACGTTCGTTGTACTCCCATGTACTCTCTGTACCCCGTGAGCACTCGTAGTACGGGGGTATGTGTTTTCCCCCTTGACTCGAGGTCGTTTATAAATCAACAAAAGAAAAAAAATCAATCGTGCAATGCTTTTTCGAGATATATTTGGGGTCGATTTGTGGTACATTATTACGTTCGCTGCGTTTCCGTGTACTCCCATGTGTTTCCTTGTACTCCTATGTACTTCCATGTATTTCCTTGCACTCCAATGTATTCCCTTGTATTCCCTTGTATTCCCCTGTACTCCCCTGTACTCCCTTGTACTCCCATGTACTCCCATTTACTCCCTTGTACTTTCTTGTACTCTCTTGTACTCCCTTGTACTCTCTTGTACTCCCTTGTACTCCCATGTACTCCCTTGTACTCGGAGTACGGGAGTACGTGTTTTCCCCCTTGGTTTTAACACAGTACGAGGATGTCCTACTTTTTTAACGGACGATACAGATACCTCCATTGTTTGATTTATATTGAAATGTCAATCGAAACATGCACAGGTTTCTTGTTGACATCTTTGAGCTAAATCAGGATTTGAACAATTGAAAAGAACTGTCCACAAACGTTCGACTACGTGGCCAAATATTGGATTCTGTGGTGTTGAAATAATCCCTAATCCATGAGGATCCTTATGGATCCAATGTGAAGCATTTGCCTTAAAACAATAATTAGTACGTTCAATACTAATCAAAAAGAAAGCTCAAACCGTCAGTATGCTCTGGATGTATTTGTACACATGCAAAGGTCTGCTGTGAATTCTTGTTCTGCTGGCAAGGAATTGGCCTTTGTATGAAACCTACGAATACATTTTTATTTCAACTGGCGTAATATTTAGTTTTACTTACTGCTTGACCGCCTGGTGGACACAACGTGTGCTCCAATATTCCCCAGAGTTCTGTTAGACGTGGCAAATCTGCAAATTTGTCTTTACCACAATTAGAAATAGCGACCATATGCGATACTACAAGTGGCATAAATCCCACTGTCATATTGAATTGCTTTTCTAGGCGTGACATAAACCAATCTTCCAGTCCTGTATTCGTAATGCCCTCCACACCCGCTTGTGAGAAAAGTGTATGAGTGGCGAGTGTGTTATAGTTGTCAATAATATGGCTAAGAAATGTGGCCCCTTCACGGCCAACATTGGGTAATGTCGTCACAGAATTGGCTCTCAAGACAGTTTTCAGAGACTCTATATTGATAATAGTGTTCTTGTTATAAACAATTACAAAAGGATCCAGTTTTCTGATATTCGGAACATTCCGAATATAGCTAATGAATCGTGCAACGAACTCGACATTTTCAGCATAATAGCTAAGAACTATATCAAAGTGTCGCTGTCGAATGACCGATTCAGTGGAAGAATATGAAGTGTTTGACGGTTTTGCCATCGTATGAATATGAAAATTATCTGTTGTACTAGTGGCATATTTATATACATACGTAGATACATGAGGGTTGCTTATAGCCATTACTAATACCAGAAGTAAAAAAAAAATTATAAGTCCTACGATGTTTTTCAATGGCATAGATTCTTTGTTTTCATCAATATACTCCATCACAGTAATGTTGCTTAGAACATAGACTGCTTCAGTGTGTTTCAGTTTTGTACTCTGCAAGACAAACTGCTTCTTATAAAAAGTGGAGCGAATGATATGAGTATGCGTTCGGATGTGAATAAAAGTGTAACTTGAATGTTCATGTTCGGTGGATGGGTAGGTAATGATGAATGTCGAGTATTGGCTGTGGTACGGATGTTAACATAAATATTATGTGGGTGTGGGTGTGTGTGGATGTGGATGTTGGTGTGGGTGTGTGTGGATGTGGGTGTGGGTGTGTGTGGATGTGGATGTTGGTGTGGGTGTGTGTGGATGTGGGTGTGGGTGTGTGTGGGTGTGGGTGTGTGTGGATGTGGGTGTGGGTGGATGTGGGTGTGGGTGTGTGTGGATGTGGGTGTCGGTGTGTGTGGATGTGGGTGTGGGTGTGGGTGTGGTTGGGGTGTGGGTAGGGGTGAGAGATTATTGTTATCCGGTTGTTATTAATAACAATAACGTTTTTGTTATTTGTTATTAATAACAAAAAAATAACGAATAACTTTCCTTTTGAAAAACTTTGAACTCGAATTGCTGCCTATCTCAACTATACTAATTCTATTGGTCTATGTTTAAGGAATGAATTTGGTACGGCTATGACAATAACCGATCTCAAAATTTCAGAATTCGCATAGATCATATAAAGGATGGGACAAAAGTGACATGGCAAAAAAGTTTTTTCGATTTTTTTTTTCTTTAAATACCGGCAGTTACATCTCATATTTATACTACATACACTACAGGATACTAGTCAGAGCAAAGTTGTAACCGGTTCGATCGGATCGAGCAGATTGAAGCGGTTGGATCGACCGGTTTTTACCGATTAAAATATATTTTATGAATGTACAGATTTTTCAGATAAAACTTCTTGATAGCAAGTGTTTATGCCCTTATCAGAATAACCAACTTATTTTACCTCAAAAACTATACATTTTGGGTGGGGTGTGGGTGTGGGTGTGGGTGTGGGCATGGGTGTGGGTGTGGGCGTGGGTGTGGGTGTGGGTGTGGGTGTGGGTGTGGGTGTGGGTGTGGGTGTGGGTGTGGGTGTGGGTGTGGGTGTGACTGAGCATCAAGAGATTACGAACACCCCACACCATCCCTCCCACACCCACACCCACACCCACACCCACCCACACCCTCTGACTTGTATCCTCTAGTATATGCAGTATAAATATGAGATGTAACTGCCGGTATTTAAAGAAAAATATCGAAAAAACTTTTATCCTATCACTTTTGTCCCACCCTGTATATGATCTATGCGAATTCTGAAATTTTGAGATCGGTTAATGTCATAGTCGTAGCAAATTCATTCCTTAAACATAGGCCAATAGAATTAGTATAGTTGAGATAGGCAGCAATTCGAGTTGAAAGTTTTTCAAAAAAAAAAAGTTATTTGTTATTTTTTTGTTATTAATAACAAATAACAAAAATAATTATTGTTATTGATAACAATAACTTTTTTGTTATTGTTATTGTTATTAATAACAACCGAATAACAATAACTTCTCATCCGTAGTGTTGTGTGAGTGTGGGTGTTGTTGGAATGTGCAAGTGAGGGTATCGGTGAAGAAAAAGTCATATTTTGATCAATATCAGCTCATACTTACACCCACCTTATACCTATCCTACACCCACAACCATTACACATCCACCCTACAATCACAACAACAGCTACATTCACACCGACATCAACAACCTCACCACCACCCTATTAGTGCATGACCTGAAAATTCCGAGAAATGGGGTTGCTGCCATTTTCTTATGAATAATTCAGGATGAGCTGATTGTTCTATTTTCATAGTAGCTTTTGATATACTTTCATAATGAACTAATCAAATTCAAAATCTAAATTTTTTCCGCATTCGTATTCTGCTAATGTCGGTCGATCTTCTGATTGATCCTCTCGTCATACAAGAATCACAGTTACACTCAAATCTACACCCTTTTCTTAAATATCGGTATCGATCATTTAGTAAAAAAATGGTCTAATTTTTACAGGCGAAAAGAGATTTATTTTTGCAATGCTTTCGATTTGTTGATTATATACCATTCAATCGTTTTTTTGATGCCTGTTGAGAGTGGAGTCATTTGGAAGGATGGATTAAGTCTTTCGAATTGTGATGTATCAGCAGTGCGACGTAGTGGTCCATCATTCTTCGTGTCATTGTCAAACTGTAGATACCCGTTGAAACCTACTTGTTCAGAAACAAGCTGAGCAATTTGAGAGATCGAAAACTCTTCGCCAGCAACAATTAGGGGTTCATTTGCATTGTAATTTTCCATTGCCCAGATGACGATTTGAGCAAGATCATATGCGAACATGATTTGACGCAGTGGTGTACCTGTACCCATCATGGTAAGAGGAGCTGTAGGATTATGTTCTTTTTGGCTTTCCATCTTTGCGATCAGTGCATTGACGAGTGGAGCGGTATTAGGATTAAAATCGCCATAGGCGCCAAAGAAATTACCAGGCAATATTGAGACAAAGTCGCATTTATGCTGTTTACGATACCATTGTGTAAGTTGTGCCAGTGATCTTTTAGAATATGCATAGGATTCTGATGCGAGATGAGGTGGTCCATCATAGATAGGAGAAGCATCTATTGGAAAATGTGCATTTTTTGGAAATATAACTGTTGACAGTATCGACACTACCTTGATTGGTCCATTCCATGTTTGAAATCTAAATGCCGCTTCGAGAACATTATTATTCATAGTAACGTTATTCAGCCAAAAGTCCACTGGCTTAGCCGACATTTCTTGAATGGACGCAAGATATGCTGCACAATGCAGTATGCGTGTTGGGTGAAATCGCCTGAAAATATTTTTAACATCTTCTACTTTTCGAAGGTCTCCATCTTGTCGGGTTATAAAGATCCATTCTGACTCGTTTGTCATGATCTTGAATGGAGTTGTATTTGTGGCTAGTATGGTTGAAATTTCGTTTGAAAAGCGTTCCAGAACAACGTCTTGGATATATTTTCCTAGTATTCCATCGCTTCCGGTCACTAGAACTACATGATAGGGAGAGAATGGAAACACCAACATAACATCAGCAAGTCTATCAATCACAGTTTGCTCCAGAGATATCTGATGCACACCAATAAAGAAACCACGAGTGTGAATTGTTTCTGCTCCTGGATAGTTCTCTGGGTTTTCTGTATCACAGAATATTGAGATACAAGGTTGACGAAGAAAATTTCCGCTTATGATGGGACGATTCTCGATTCCATTCCTTTCAAGATATTGTAAAAATTCATGATGTTGATGAGCATACTGTCGATGTAGTAAAACACCAAGACCAAACCACGCAGGATCTACACCTTCTGATGCCTCCATTAATGACATTAAAGATGAGAATCTGTTGTCACGAGATAAAGCGTCTTTAATGCGTTTTAAGTTATCACGGTGATATATATTGAATTGATGAAGTTTATCTAACTGAATACTTAGCATTGCACCTTGAACTTCTAATGGTCAAAAATTATAGCCCATATTTACAAATAAGAAGCGAGAATCAATATCTTGATACAGCTCTTCAACTTTTTGACGATTCGTAAGATGTCTTGTCCATCCATGAGCACGTAGGCAACGTATAAAATTATAATCCTCTTCTGTATGACATGTAACCATTCCTCATTCACCACTCGTAATATGATGTGAAAAATAAAAGGAAAAAGTACCAAAGTCTCCAAATGTGCCCAGCATTTTGCGTTCATTTGTTTTATCAGTACTAGAAAAACTACCTAATGATTCACATGTATCCTCGATTAATATCAACTTGTACCGTTTAATGAATTTCATCAGTTGTTGCATATCAATAGAATTACCTAGCACATGCACTGCCATAACTGCCTTGACACGACTTGCCATCTTACGCTCCAGTTCAACTATGGAAACATTAAATGTTCGCGGATCTACGTCAACAAATATAGGACGAAGGCCATTTTGGATTAAAGGAAAGACACTTGTGGACCAACAGACCGCAGGAACAAGGATATGATCGTCGGGGTTACAATGCACTGCTCGCAGCTTGTTTGTGATTGCAGAAACGGCAAGTAAGTTAGCAGAACTGCCAGAATTTACCATGATAGCATATGGCACTCCGACTATCTGTGCAAATTTCTTTTCAGCTTTCTCTACTTCAATGCCCATTGTTAAACGACCTGTCAACAGTACTTCTGTCATTGATAATACTTCATCTTCACCAAATGGATTCATTGCAGGTGGAAATAAAGTGGATGTATTTTTTATATCTGTTGAATGGCGAGCATTCCATTCTGAAGCAATACTTGAACGCCACGAAGAACAAGTATTATGTTCTGAAGAAGAATTCAGCAATACAGTATTAGAAGCTTGAGAATCAACATTCTTCGTCATTTTTGTACGAATTCTAATGTGTTTAAATCGGCTCATTCTCAAAAGAGATACAATTTCTTTTTGTGTATAGTTAGCATCAAATGACTTCGAAGACACTTGTTCAATGATTTCCTAGTCTAACTACTAATCATTGTCATAGCTATTTAATACTGTCATAGTGACCTAAAGATCTTGTAGCTATTTAACCGTGCCATAGCTATTTAAAGGCTTCCATAGCTATTCAACCATTTGTATAGCTATTTAGTCTTTCACATGGCTATTTGAACTTATCATAGCTATCTAGAGATCTTCTAGCTATTTAATGTTGCTATGGCTATTTAATCTTATCACAGCTATTTAAAGATCCTATAGCTATTTAAAATTGCTTTAGCTATCTAATGACTTGCACAACTATTTAATCATTTACATGGCTATTCAATGCTATTATAGCTATCTAAAGATCTTGCAGCTATTTAAAGTTGCTATAGCTATTTAATAATTTCCATAGCTATTTAATCTTTGACTTGACTATTTAATGCTATCAT